TTCCCCCCCCCCCCCCGCAACTTCTCAGGAGCCACACTCTAGCCAGGTGCTGCATGTGTGTATTCTCAGCAGGTGCAGGCACCCTTGGCTACATAGCAAATTCAAAGCCAGCCCGGGCTACGTGAGCCTTTAGTGGGGACCATCTGTCCAGTCATCCTGGTCATCGGATTTGCTGTTTCCTCCTAAGAAGTCAAACATTATTGCTTTGGTTTTGGGCAATCTTACACATGTAACCCCTTGAAAATTCATTCTATTGTATCAGTAGGAGAATGGAAATGAAAAAAAGCAACTCAAGTCTGAACACCATTAAGAAAGTAGCTTTAACCTCATGGTGTCCCTGAAAGGGTCTCAGTGAAACAAACCTGCCCTGTCACCACATTTGAGGATTCATCGGAAGCTGGTACCACATCCAAGCTGCTTTGGTAAGAATTACCCCGTACAGAATCTTTTTCTATCATTTTTTTTCATCAAATATACCAGATCCCAATATGGCAGCAAATACATATTCCTAATTTTTTCTTAAAGCATATTTGACATTTTTCAGCAAAGAGCCTGTCTTATCTTTTACATGGTCTGACCTACCAAGAACCTTGATGAGATTGAGCTTTTTTGAACACAAGGCCTAGTTTTTCATTGGTATCTTAAACATGCTATTACCTTTCTAATTTTGTGTCTAGGCATTTAGGCCAGGATCACAGACCAGGAATCTTGTTAATATTTTGATTACTGTTCATGATGTCAGCTGGCAAGGTCTCCTGGTTCCATGTATTTGCAACTGCTTCCTTTCCAGTGACTCACCAGCTCTGCCTATGTTTTCAATCCATTTTTTTTGTTTGTTTGTTTAATACACTGTGTCTAAGCTCCCTGAAGCAACTACTTTAATAATCACTCAGATTTTTTAAGTTAGTCTTATTATCACATTGATTTTAAACTTCTTGTGAAGCCTGCTGCAATGATCAGCTTTTTCTTTGTCAAGCCCTGTTGTGAAATGTTTGTCTCCTTTAAGAAATGAAGTACATCAACAAGAATGCTTGCAAAAGTTTAAGGAAGGCATTACTTCAATTACTCCCCAAGTCAGCTTGTATTTTTAAGGGTGGATCTATCTCTGGCCCTGGGGGACATGGTATCTCTGAAGACAGAAAAATAAGTCTTCTGCCTTCAGGGCCATTTCCACTGTCTCATCCCCGACACTTACGTTTGACTTGACAGCTAACAATATTATTGCTTATTCGTCTATGTTATCATCTGCATTCACTTACCTGCATTTAGTGATACAAGACCAACAAGAAAGTACTTACTTAGAAACATTACTTTTTTAACACTGAGGAGAGCACTTAGTCAAGCTACCAGTCTAGACTTGAAACTGACTGGCTTCATGACAACCTGCTGATCAAGGAAGGAAAGAATCGCTAGTGGTTTACACAACTATAAAAGTACTTGGGAGAAGGACCTCTGTGCTCCTTACTCCTCTCTCCTCAGGAATCAAAGATGATTTCTCACTTTGGGCTGAGGTCTGTCATGTCAGTAATTCCTTCCCAGGCAGCCCTCTTTACAACTTCACACCATACTTTCTTACTTCTCTGTTGCTTCTCCTAGCATTCAGTAGAATATTATATATTTGTGGTCTCCCTCTGCCACTGGAACACAAACTCTGTGAGGGCAGAAAGCCTTAGCTATTTTGTTCACTGCTGTATCTGCAGTGTTTAGCAGTGGGTAGAAGTTCAAGCAACATTTGTTGGGTAAGTGTATGTAAAGGGAACATAAAGATAGCAAGATGGTTCATTAGGTTAAGGTAGCCACTGCCAAGCATGAAATTCCATCCCTAGAACACACAGAGTAGAAAGAGACAGTAAACTACCATGGTGCTGGTATATGAGCACATGGACACATGCATGTACACATGCACACACACACACACACCCACACACACACACACACACACACACACACACACACAATGTAATAATTTTTAAAGGCAATTAATACTGCAAACAAACCTCCAAAACAGTTTTATTTAAAACTCTGAAAGTAGAAAAATAGCTTTAATTATATACAGAAATAAAACTCTTTATAATTAAATTAGTTCATATGGTTTGGTATATAGGTTCAAGTTTTAATAGCACTTACTATTTTTTAAAATATCCAAAATATAAATCTCAAAACAAGAGTGAGGATTAATTTTTTCTGGTCATTACTGTCTTGTTGTGCAGTAATAGGTAAGACTCAATCTGTATCCTTTGGTTCTCAAGCAGAGGCCATTCAAAGTTGATAAATAGCCACAGCTCACACTTTATACTTTACAATATGTGACAACAATGATTTAGAGAACACACAGAAACAAATAATTCTTAAAGCAGAAAAACCTAGTAGACTGGTTTCACAGTTTTATCAGTTTGTGTCAGAAATATTTAAAAAGTGATTATTTCACAATTACCATTTTGTTAGGTAAGCATTGTTATCCATAGTCCCTTGGCACAAAAAGTGAAACACCGTGTACTCTCTTAGGTACAGTTCTCTGACATGACAGAAACAAAAGAAAGCTAAGGAAAGGGAGAAGAGAGTGAAGAAAAAAAGAAAAGGCAAGAGTGTAAAATTTCTTTGGCCCAAGAAACGTGATAGTAGTAAGAAAGTACTTGTGTTTTTGTTTGAGATGGCCCTGCCTGTCCTTGTTTCAGAGGCCTGCCTGCAGCCTCCTGAATACTGGGATTATAAGCATGTGCCACCATGCCTGGCTGTGTCTGATTTTCTAAGAATGGTAGGCAGACATTGTATTTAAAATTCTCTGGAACAGTATTGTTAGGATGTGAAAAAAACCTAACTCAAGAAGGTTTCTCTGAAAGCCCATCACTATGGGATCTGTGCTTGTCACCTTATCCCTTCCCTGTAAAGGAGACAGACAGTACTCACTGTCTAACAGTCAGACTGAGTTTCAGATGTGTCTGAACTATTCAGAGAAATGGTCAGCTAAGTTTACCTCCAATATTCACCTGGAAATGAAAATTAAGATAGTATTTTATTTTTTGAAAATGCAGTATCTCTTCAACATGGACATTATAGTATACATGGACCACACAGCAAAAGGCCCATCTTTAAGATCTGTCATTTGCTTTGTATTTTACACCACTTTTTGAATAGTGTTCTCATGGCTGACACCAACAGATCAAGTTTGAGTGGGGAAAAAAAGTTCCCCGTATTAATATCCCTAGTTTGTTCTGTTTGAAAACCTGAGGTGGTCAACAGCTACATTGATCATAATTATCAGTATTAGAAACAGCTTGGGATTTGAGGGTGTGTCCAGAAATTAAAGACATTTAATAAGTACGTTTTTAGAAATACGGGAACACATACATTGGCACACAGGGAGTCTAGACTAATTTGACTCAGTGCTGTTAAGAGGGGAGAGATTTCAAACTGTTGTCTACATTTCAAGATCCACAATTTCCATCTCTGACTTGAAAGCTGAAATTAAAGCCCCTTAGAAGTCACAGGTGATGTAAACAGCTGGTGTCTGTCACCAATGCCTTGATGAGACTCTCTTAAACTGAGGACTGAGGGGGTAACAGTATTTTTTTATATAACCAAATAGCTCAAGATACACTGATGTTATGTAGTTTAAGCTAGAGGGCTCATGTTTAAAGGAGGGAAAATGCAGGGATGAACTTTAGATAGCTTGCCTTCCAACATATATAATCCTTGAAGGAGAAACTAACCACAACTGTAAAGTGTGGGGGATATTGAGCCTGTGGGATGTCCACCTGGGTAAGTGGTAATAATAAATGTAGCATTTGCTATATTTTTCTTTTCTTTAATACACTAAATTCTCATGGCCAAAGAAAATCAATGCCTAGTCAGTTTTCTCTACTACTGAAGCTTAGGTAAACTGCCATTGCTTAAAGTGCACCTCCTTCCTTTGTGAAAACCCAATACAGACTGATGCTTATTTATAAGACAAAAATTAGTATTTTATAAAAAAAGTTACCCTAGGTCAGTGTTAGCCTGTTTTTTCAGTGTTTTAAAAAGGATTTTATTTTCTAATTGTGAGTGTGTGTGTGTGTGTGTGTGTGTGTGTGTGTGTGTGTGTTACAGGTATTTTGAGCTATCTGATGTAGGTGCTAAGAGCTGAACTCAGGTCTCTTCCAGTGAGGTACTTGCTCATGACCTCCAGCCCTCATCCAGTGTTTTTAATATGATTTGTAGTAGTGATATAAAATGCATGTGTACTAGAACATACTTCAACAAGAAGAATAAAAGAAATGGAAGCTTATGGATGATTAAAAATGTCTCTTATTCCAAAATAAAGTTCATCACAAAGAATAAAGAGAATCGAACAAATATAAATTAACTTTAAACTTCTCCTGCACTGAGGTATCTACTAAAAATACTTAAACTAATGCACAGACTTTTGATTTGATAAGAAAACAGAATACAGATACTGCGAATTTAGATACTAATACACAAAATAAAAACAATATTTTTATTAACTGTGACTTTCAAAAATCCCAATGCAATAGTAATATTATTAGTACACAGATACAGGGCCCCTCACAATGACTACAGAACCTTGTCATCTCTTCAATTTCATTCCTTCACCAGGTATAAAGTCAGTATTGGGTTTTAGGAAAAACAATGAGTTGAATATGATCCCCAAATAAACATCTATATTATTTTTTATTAAAGAATTCACATTATTTAAAACTATTCAATAAATTAGCAATCTTGTCTCTGTATTTTGATCAAATATCTACTCAAATGTCTTCTATAATACTACATATGAATTGATGCAACAACCCAAGAGCATGGCATCTCAGCGTTTAAAAAGATAAGTTCAATAGTGAAAGATGACTAAGCTGAGCCTTATTTCTATATGTTGATTTCAGCCATTCTGACACTGTCCCACGATCCCTTTGTGTGCTGCTTTGAATCCTACAAACACAGCTACAATGTTAATCCAAAGAACAATTTAAACGCCATTTCAATGGCAATTTCTGTGACTGAGTCGTGAAAACAGACATACAGTTCTTGAGGTTTGGGGTGAAGGAAGAGCCTCCTGCAGAAAGAAAAAAACATAGATATTTCAGAAATTAATGGTGATAAAACCTTCCCCCTTTGTTTCCTTTCAGTTTTGGGAGAACCAATAATAAGCTGAAAAGACAAAAAACAAAATACCAACCCACCACCATCACCACCAAACTCATGAATCTAAATCTACAGAAAACAGAATACAGCTCAGTTTCCAACTAAACAATGTATGTCCTAATTAATGGCATTGTTCTAGAGTATAAGAACTCTTATTTAATCAATGCACATCATCATATCCGTCAGTCTTGAATATTCAACCTGCTTATTATTAACATCCAGGCAATACTTCCTGTATCATTTTGAGCACAGTAGCCATGAAATATTTTATTTCCACTTACATTTTAAACTGCTATTGTTACTAAACATAAAATGACAACCCATTTGCAGACAGATTTGGATTAACACTACATTTGTGTGTGTGTTTGCATATACATGCACCTCGTGGTGTATGTATGTACAAGTAAACAGACAGCCTTAAGCATTGGCTCTAGTCTTTCATGTTACTTGAAATGAACGCTGTTGTCTACTGCTGCAAACTTCAAGCTTTCTGGGCTTTTCCTGTCTGCCTCCTATCTCCCCAGAGCAGCACTAGAATTACAAATGTGTTTTACTGTGTCTGGCTTTACACAGACTTTGGGGATTTAAACTTGGATCTTCATGCTTGTATGGCAAGTGTTTTACCCACTGAATCCCACTGTTCTGGAATTATCTTTTTGTATGTTGTGAAGATTTGTTGTGAGGATTAGTTTAATAAAAAGCTGAATGCCCAACAGCTAGGCAGAATTTTCTGGCAGAGAGGATGCTGGGAAAAGAAGGGAGGAGATGTAGGAAGACACTGGACTGACACAGAATGAGTTGGACACAAAAAATGGGATAGAGATAAAAGCCACATGATAGAATGTAGATCAATAAAAATATGGGTTAATTTAAGTTGTAAGAGCTAGTTAGTAATAAGCCTAAGCTATTGGCCAAAATTCTATAATTCATAACAAGTCTCTGTGTGGCTATTTGGGAGTTGGCAGGCAGGACAGAAAAAAAAATCTGCCTACGACTCAATATAACATTAAAATTTTGTTTGTTTTTTCTAAAGAGTGAAAATTTTCATACAGAGCCAGGTATGGTGGGACACACCTGTAATTGTAAGCACTTTGGATGCTGAGGCAGCAGGATCATGAGTTTGAGTCCATCCTTTTCTAGATTCAATCTCAAAAAGAAAAGAAGTTAATCTATTTTTCTATAAAACACTGTACATAAACAGAAGAGTTTATTTGGGGATAGTTCTGTCTGACCTCCTTTAAATCAGGACCATCTGATTGTTCTATCCCTACTCTCAAACCTAGTGGATTACCTATCACATCACAAGAGAGCTTAAAACCAGAACCTACTCCCAGATTCCGACTCAGTGGTCTGGGCAAAGGTGCAGGAAGCTCTGGATTACACAACTGATTTGGTGGTTCTCAATTCCATAGGCCAGTGGACAGGCAATTATCTGGATCATTTGTTGCTTATCATATAGCCTAGAACCACCTCATAAGTGTCCAACAACTACTGTCCTACTAAACAGTTTCCTTTCCTTTATGAGCTCTACCCCAGCCTCAGGAACTTTCTGTAGTTCAGCCCCTCCCTTAAAGATTCGGTTCCTTAGCTAGGAATGGGAGGCTCTCAGCAACAGGTTTCACTTAAGATTTCTAGTGCAGTCACTCAGTTTATCTTTGTGTGGGTCAGTCATGTACATCTTGTCAGCCCATCTCACTGCCATGGACCTTTGTTCATTCATCCCATTTCCTTAACCTAGAAGGTTCATTCCAAAGATAATTGAGCTTTTAAACCTTTCAACGTGCCTTGTTTTTTTAATCCTTGCTTGGATTTTTTTTTTCTTCAGAATTCCTGTAGTATTTGGTCTAGTCTATTGTATGTGCATATTATATATATACATATATACATATTATATATATACATATTATATATATACATATACATATATGTAGATAGTCATATTTACACATAAATATACAGATACATGTTAATACTGTATCAATCAACACATAGTGAATGTACATATTTCTTCTACAAGGTGTAAGGCTGGGAGGTGATGACTATATTTTTGCCTCTGAGTTCACTATGTTACTCATCCATCTATGCTGTTTGTCTAACATAACTCCATTTAATACACATTCATATTTTACCAAGTTGCTATTGAGTGCCAGGTGCTACACAGACATCAACTGATTTCATGAAGCTGGCATTCTGGTGAGGGGATGCCAATAGGCAAACACGAAAAGCAGTAAAGGAGGTGGTGCAGAAAATGACAGATGCCACTTCAGAAGGGAAGGAAGCTCTACATGGGTCCTCCTTGAAAAGATAACCAGTCAGTGTTGATGGATGTAATAGGGGGAAACTCCCACACAGAAGGGAAAAGCAGAAACAGATGCCCTGTGCCAATGAAGCTGGCCCACAGTGGACAGGTGGAGTGACATAGACAGGTATGTTTTGAAGGAGTGTGTGAAAAATGAAGAATTAAAAAAAAAAAAAAACAAGAGGGAGCCAGGCAGTGGTGGTGTACTCCTTTGATCCCAGCACTTGGGAGGCAGAGGCATGCAGATCTCAGTAAGTTTGAGGCCAGACAGCCAGGATTGTTACACAAAGAAAGCCTGTCTTGAGAAACCAAAAAAAACAAAAAACAAAAAAAAACAAAAAACAAAAAACAAAAAACAAAACAAAACAAAAAAAAACCCAGTGTGTGTGTGTGTGTGTGTGTGTGTGTCCTTTCTTTTCTTTAATCAAACTCCTCCCCCATTATCCTCTCTTATCTTCACTGGAAGGACACAGGGAGGTAGGTATTTAGAGGAAAAAACAAAACAAAAAACCAAAAGCAAAAAAATCAAACTCTAAAATACATTAAAAGATTTTAGCTTGATTACAGTCCCAGGCCAATATTTAAAGATATCTGTTACCTTTGCTACTTTCCTTCAAGTTTCTAACCTTTCATTTCACATGTACACACTTCCCTCATACTCACCCCACCACCCAGTATGCCATAACTGGTGGCGTTTTCTTCTGATCAGTCCAGTTTTCAGGTGAACATTCAAATAGCACACCATGTTCTTTCACAGCGGTCAGAGAAGACATTGAATCTGCAGACTCAGAATGATCTTCACCACGCAGTACTTTCCTATTCTGCAAATTAAGAGCAGTTATGAGTAAAATTAACTAGTACTGACAGTGTTAGTCTAAAATGTTTGGAGCTGGGAATGTAGCTCAGAGGTAGAATGCTTGCTTAGTATGCACAGAACCCTGGCTTCCATCCCCAAAGTAGAAAAAGAAAATGGTTTCACATAAATATCTGAAGATGATAATGATGGCTGACTCTGGTTCTAAGTATCTACAATGTTATCCTTCCTGTTAGCCGGCAATTTTTTTCTATTCATCAATTCTTAAATATTATCTCCTAAGGTGGATTACAAGTTTTCCCCCAGCAGACAGCAAATGTTATTCTCTCCCCCTCTTCACCCCCCCACACCCCCCACCCCCAGCTCCAAGACAGGATCTCACTACATAGACCTGGCTGACCTGGGGCTGGTCTCTCCAACTTCTGGCACTCTTACTGTCTCTTGTTTGGGAGTGGTTGGATTACAGACATGTGTCATACATTTGGCCTATTTTTTTCTTTTAACATTTGTATGTGTCTATATATGCGTCCATGCCAGTGAGTACCCTCAGAGGCCAGCTACCTTCCTGTTAGAAGCTCTGCGCTCCAAACATCCACACAGTCTTTTCCCTCTTTGTTCCTGTCTATTCAAAAATTGCTTGACATGATCAGGGGGAACTTGTAAAACAGTAACCTGCACTACTGAGCCTGACTAAGATTAAATTCTGCTTGACACTCACTCTACTGGATTTACTATTTGTCAGTTTATTTAGCTCCTTCATTAGGAGATGGACTTCAGGAAAGGATTTCGTTTGTTTTCTTTCCTAGCAGCTAGAATAATGTTCTGTGCAGGTTAGATGCCTTAACATGTAAGGCCAATTTCTGTTACTAAATATGACCAGATAGGGTGATGACATATCCAGAGCATCCAGCAGTACAATAATACAAGAAGAATGAACCCAAGAAATGAAAGCAGGGAGGCCTCCCTGCTCAAACATGACACTTCTTGTTAATAACACTTTCCAAGAACCTGAAAGTATGGAAGGCAGAATTCTACTGTTGAATGGGCCCTGAGAAGTGATATACTCCAGTTGGATCACTTTATAGCTGAGGAAACAGGAAGAGTCAGGGTTCAGGCCAGGGTTCCTTACTCCCAGCCCAATGTCATTTTAAACCCAAGTTCTTCACAGGACTGGTATGCTTCATACATCACCATTGTCTTCAGAGAGCTGCTCCTGGACAGATGTTAGATCAGTTACAACCTCCTCTCTCTCCTTCTCCTCCCTTCTTTGTTCTTAAAAGATTTATCTATTATTCTTGAGTATATATGTGCCTATGTGAGTTTACATGCATCACATATGTGCAGGGTCTGATGGAGTCCAGAGGGCATCAGATCCCTTGGAGTTGGAGTGACAGGTGGTTGTGAGCTGTCTAGGGTAAGCTGGGAACCACACCCCAGGACCTTACAAGAGCAGTTAGTGCTCCTAATTGCCGAGCCACATTTCCAGTCCTTCTTATTTTTGAGATAGGGTCTTATGTATCCCAGTCTAGCCTCAGACTCACTATGAGGCTGGAGATGACTTTTGAATTTCTCATCCTCCTGCCCCCACTCCTGGGGTGTTGGGTTTACAGATGTGCACCCAGGGCTTCTTGAATGTTAGATAAGCACTGTGCCAATTAAGCTGCAGTCCTAGCCATAAAGCTCTGAATGTTTTTCCATAATGAGAGATCGCACCAATTTTCCGATCACCACTAGAATCCAGTTGATCTTTGAATTATACATAACACTACTACTTCAGAATAGGGTGCAACATTAAATGACATTATCCTGGATTGAAACACTACCACCAATTAACAGACATGAGTGGCTAGCTGATATTATATATGACCATTTTGTACTTTGCTGTGGAAAAACCAGGCCCACCATTTCCAGAGGTAAGATTCCAGACCACAGAGCTCAGTATAACTGAGTTAAATAAAACACTGCTGGTCATGTTGATTAAAGAAAATAAGAGTTGATATTTGCAGAAAACTATATTTAAATATTTACCTCTTCCTTCAATGTCTGTTGGAAAATTGCACGGATAGAGAGACAACACTGATGGAAATTCTTAATTAGCTGAGCATGGACGGAACCGCCTAGCTGAGCCACCTCTTCATGGGTGGGAGTGATGAAGATGCCCTGCACTGTTTCTAAGGCAACATAATGGAAGAGTGTATTCTCAGGACCAGAGGTCAATCTTGAAAAGGAGAGAAAAGGAAATTGAAGTTAGAAGAATTTTTCATTTTGAATTCTGTAGCACTTTCACAAGACTATGTGAAATAATATTAGCAGAATAATTATGGACAGATAGCTGAACCAAACATTTAATTCCCTGTCCTTGACTAAAGCACGTGTTAGGCTATTCTTAACCCCTAATGGAGACAAACAGTACCAGCCATGGAAGGAAATGCTAATTCATTTGCAAGTAACTTAAATTGTCTCTTCACTAAACAACCAGTTGGCTGAGCCTTCTTTTTCCATGGTTTGTATGAAGAACTGAGCTCATGTTTGGCAGAAATTCCAACAAGCCATAAAAATGGTATCAGTTTAGAGCACGACACATACCATATTATCTCCTAACAAACTAAACACATAAAATCAGCAGCACTAAACTTCGCATGGCAACAACACTGATGATCCTGAAATAATGTAAAATGGTTAACAATCACAAAGTGAGGCTAACATCCTTATCTCGGTGCCAGCAGCTGACAATATTCCACACTACTACAGTTTCTCACTTAGACTCTGTTTATCTATCACTCTAGATGTGGTGGGACCTGGGGGACTAAAGTCTCATGCAATAGCCAACTTTATTCAAAGCATCAGACAATTTATACTCTGAGGGTGAAGAGGAGTTACATGAGTAAAGTGTACAATCACAGAGTAAGCCAAACATGGCAGACAAGCCTCATGTATACAGCAAGCCACACGTGGCAAAAACATGTTTTTCCATAGACAAATGTAAACAAATTACAATAGCCAGCTGTAATGAATAATCTGGAGTAAACTAATTGCTAGCTGTTACACCTGGGAGGGGAATGAACCTACAGCTCAAGAACAATTCCATGTTTTTGAAGAAACTGAGGTTACAAGACTCGTGTCTTGGTTTCATGGAGTTTTCTCACAAGCACTCAGAATTCTCACATGACTCTATTCTTGGACCACGTTCCGACAATGTTCACATACTGTTTACAGTTTTTCTTTTTTTTATTTTATTTTATTTATTTATTATATAAACAACATTCTGCTTCCATGTATATCTGCACATCAGAGGGCACCAGATCTCATTACAGATGGTTGTGAGCCACCATGTGGTTGCTGGGAACTGAACTCAGGACCTCCGGAAGAGCAGTCAGTGCTCTTAGCCTCTGAGCCATCTCTCCAGCCCCAGTTTTTCTTTTCTTTCCCATCTCTTCCTCTCATATTTAATCTCAGACAGGTCAGCAGAACCTAGTTGAGATGTTTATGCTTCCCCAAAGAAGAAAATTTAAAAGAATAACAAAAAAGCAAGAAATAATAAGTTACCATGAATGTCTTCTATCTATATGCCACAGTGTGTGTTTGAAAGTATGTTAATTTCAGTTTTCATAATGATCATACATGACAGTAAATGTTATTCTGCTCCTCTTAACCACAGGGAAGTAGTGTCTGGCACTGGGATGAACCTGACCCAGCTGCACAGCCAAGTAGGGTTTGGTGACTTTGCAGTCTGCTCTCTCTGTATCCCAGCTTTTCCTCTCCACTGCTGAGTTTCAGGAGCTGAGAGACCAAAGCAATAAAGCCAGGAAGGAAAACAAGAGGTGGGGTAAGCTGGGACTGTACAAATACAAAGTGGATGCGACTTTGACATTGACTAAAATGCTGGGTTTATTATATATATTTACAATGGTGTGTATATACAAGTAGAGTAATATAATTTACCTAATAACATGCTTTTAAAATGAACTTTCCACATCAGTAATTAATAAGTTATCCATCTTAGGCATTTTAAAAATAAGAAATTTTTAAAATGAATTTTAAAATTCATTTTAAATTGAATTTGAGAGTTTGCTTTTACTAGATATAATGTCAAAACAATGTAGGATTTAAAAAGTATGGCAGTAATGAAATGACCTTAAACTTTCAAGTCATTGCTAAATGGAAGACTAGGGTTTTCAAAGGGGTTTCAGCTTACCGTAGAAGGCTGTACTCAAATTTATTTGTTTAAAATTTTTTTAACTATTAGAAATTAAACACTCATGTGTTGATGTATTAAATGTTAACACATTAGATTTCAGAGCACTATTTTAATCAGGTAAGTTATCTTTGTTTTGCCCTAACTTCAGAACAAAGTATTTCCTGACAACTGCTATTTATACACTTGCACTTAGACAATATTTCCATCTTTAAGATGGTGGTTGTTAAGTACCCATGTATGTGTATTCTGCTTCTACATGTTCTCTTGCCAAGGACAATTAATTTTGTTTTATCAACTGGTCCCACACGTGACATCAACATTAAATATCAGGCAAAATGATTCAGGCAGATCAGGTAGCTAGCCACAAAATAAATGTAAAAGAAGTGCTTATGAGGCTATAGTTGCTCAGTCAGTAAATCACTTGCCTTGCAAGCATGAAGACCAGAGTTTGACACCAGAACCAATGCAAAAATCTGGGCATGAGGGTGCACATGTTTAACTTCAGCCATGGGAAGGCAGAGACAGAGGAGCCCTGGGGCTCATTAGCAAGCCAGCCTGGCAGGCTTAAGTCCAGGCCATTGAGAGACTGCATTTCAAAAGACAAGTCAGGTAGCTCCTAAGGAATGACAATCAGGTTATCCTCTAGCTTCCACACAGAAGCATACACAAGTTCATCTGCATGCACGTGTGTGCGCACGCGCACACACACACACACAAAATGTATAACAGTTTACAAGGTAATTTATACATTCCTTCTTTATTCAGGTCTTTTTACTTCAGGATTCCTTATTCAATGTAAGTTTGAGCTTTAGCTATTTGTTCAGGACCAGTTTCTAGGACCCAGAGTCTGAGAGGGAGACACACAGGAGGATGTGTTCTATGGAACTGCAGCAGAGGGGTGAGTGAGAGAAGCAGGATATAGCAAACAGAGAAGCTGAACTGTGCTGCAGTTGCTACAGAGCCGCCATCTACCACCTGGAACCAGGAAGTGTGGATGGCCTTTCACACCTGTGTTGAATTTAGGCAAATGGCCAACCCTTTGTTCGACAGAAGTGATCATTCTGATCTGTATGCCAGTAGCAGCTATCACTTACAGGAACTGGGCTAAGCATAACCAGGCATCTACTAGAGTCTAAAATTAGCCTTTAAACTCCAGTTTAAAAAGTAGACATCCAAAAAGTATGTTACCTATGGGAGAGAGGTAAAGAGCAACTTTCATGTTTTGAAATACTACTTTTGGTGTTTTCATTAGCATACAAATACATTCATTTCCTTAAATGTGTAAACAAAACATTACAGAAACAGTATGGATATTACCTCAGATCTTCCAGCTAAATCATAATTATGCTTGTTGAATCTCTCTGCACTTTCTCACTGTAAAGCCCCTCAATGACAATGACTCTAAGTGAAAAGGCATGCTAGAAGTTTCTTACTTCATCGTGTTATAGACTTCCAATTCTTTGTCTGAAAGTTCTTTTTTCGAATTTCCCAAATGAAATGGATTTGGGAGCGTCGATTTCTTTCTAGCGAGCTGGAAGATAAGTAGGTCAGTTTGTATCTAAGAATAGGATCAAATAGCAAAAAAGATTCAACAAATTTAAAACCTTCTAAGAGCACCACTTTTGTGATGCATGCTTCCATTAAATATTTTTTTTAAAGACAATCTGCATCTCTTGGCTTATTCTTTGTTGTAGAAGATTCCAGCTAGCATCAAGTCAGGGGGCCATGGTGAAAACTCCCCACCAGTTCACTACCAAATGTATATGCATGTGTATCTGTCTCTCTTCCTGTTGTCTGGATGCCTCAAGGTCACAGAAATGTGTCTTACTCCTAGCAGCTGATTAGAGCTTTGCTATATGTAATTTAGCCAAATCCTCTTGGTTTCTGTTATGTACTAATTTTACCAACAGAGATAGCAGGGTATAGCTTGGATGCAAGCGCTTCCTAACACATTCTATTCGTGGCTCCAAGGCATCCCATTGTTTGTGTATAGGAGAGAGAATATCTGTGCTTGTACATGCCACACCACTCAGAAACATAGAGTCCATTTTCAGATCCAAGATTCCTTCAGTCTTGTCAGGCATGACCTTCACCCACCTGATAGCAAGTTTCAAAACTGTCTGGGGAGACCTCAGCATCACAGGAGTAAGTGCAAAGATGCCATGGATGATGATGACTCTAACAACTGTTTGGGTGTTTTATGGTATGTATGGGAAAAGCCAGTAAAAGTCATACACTGAAGTGTGAACATCCTTTGTGCTTTCACAGTCACAATGTTTGTGACATTCGTAAGTATAGATTAAAAACCTTAGCTATTACGAATAGGCATCTCCTCTTCATTCTGGTCATTTGTTGCTGTTAAATATTTTACTGACTACTTAGATTGCCGCTGAAACTGCCCCACAGCTAGGATGATCTGTCATCCCTATCAACACAGAAAAAAGACCAATGTATGTGGACCAGGGGTTGAAGCTTCTCTACCTGGAAGCACTGGGCATGAATGTCCTAGATGCCAAGGGCTCATGTGTTGGTATTTGGTATTTGTTTCTCTTTTCAGTTGTAAGTCTTCAGTTTTCCAGCAATGATTAAAATACCATTTCAAATAAGGAACACTATCCCAATTAAAAAACAAAAATTTCTAACCGTTATGGATCACTTGGATCAATGCACACCTTAAGCAAGGCCATGCTGTCCTCTGAACCATTGGATTCTCTTTGCTTCCGTACTGCAGCTGGGGTAGTGTGTGGGCTAGGAACAACACCTTCTCCACCTTCACCAGGCTCATATCCTCCACTACTCCTGGAGGGACTGGGCTTCCGTGTCTTGAAGGAATAGTCACTGAAAAAGGTTCTTCTGCATGTTGGAGAGGTCACTGTTTTGGTGGACCCCTGCAGTCTATTGAGGATAGGTGAAGTGGTCAAATTATCTGCCTTTTCATGTGGTGCAGCAAGGAACCAGTCAGCACAAGACAGGCAGAGCCCGGGAGATGAGGCTAGCCGTTCCTCTATGCGGGAGTCTATTCCTTCCAGCTGATGAAGAGTTGTTCTAGCCTGATCTACATAAATACAATCTGGACCAGGATTCCCAGTAGCTTTAGATGTACAGCCTCCAGCTTCTAACAGCACAGACAACATATAATGTCGCTGCAAAAGAATATTGGTACAGGTTCAGCAGCCATGTAAATACTTAATATAGTCTGTATGCTTAAGTTTGTTCTAAAAGGCATATGGGCATTTGCAAATATTCAGCGAGTACCGAAAATCTCTCTCTGCTTTCTCTTTTCATCATCATCAAAGCTTCTTGACCCAGAATGGAAATAATCTCACATTGCTTTATTTTGATAAAGCATCAATTCATTGTCAATCAATTCTCTTAGTTCACAGAATTTACTAAGATAACCTTCAAATAGCCTCAATTATCACCACATCATTTCAGACAGGGTTTCTGTATAGCTCAGGCTGCCTTGGAATTCAAACTTGGAATCCTCTTGCCTCACAGCCTTCCAAGTGCTGTAATTTTAGGGATCATCAACATGAAGGACTCAAATCTATATTGTTTCATGTTTTCAAAACAAGCAAAGGGAAAAAAAAAACACTATAGGAAGGGGAACAAAACATCTTCAGACCCTGCTAAAATTATACACTGGGTTTTACTAGTATTTCTTCATGAGTACTAAATAGATACAGAAGAAAGGAAATAGAGGTGTACTCAACATTTTCTTGAATACAAGTAATTAACATATTCATATTTGTAAATGGACTTGTTGGTATATTTAAGCAAGTAGATTTAAAAAGTGTAAAATGAAATTCAAGAAAGAATTTCCTAACTCACCAGTCCGACAATTAGTAAGAAATATCTCCCTTTAGGTTCCTGGAAGACCTCGGTGTCTGAGTCTGCAGGAGGCTGGAGGTGGTGCTGTGGGAAGACCTCTCTCCATATTATCAGCTGGCCAATTCTTTGCTTTGCTGCTAAAGGCAGTAGGCAGTACTGGCGACAGTATGCAGCAATCTCAACAATATCATCCTTAGGTAGATGGCTGCACACCAAGTAACCCTGAGATTTAATCATGAGCCAAAACCAGTAAGTAACATGAATCAATGATCCCGCATTTCTAAGAGTTTTAATAACACCAAAATAGTAGGCTTAAAATAGTGTAGTTCTAAAGGGAGTAAACTAAGATCTGGCCAAATCCATACCTTTTTTCTGAGTCAAACCTCAGATCAAGTTTGACAACCTCAGGGACCCAGCAGACAGGCTTTTACACAAAGCCAGATCACCTCAAGTGGGATTACCTTGGATGCTTGGTAAAAGTAGGACCAGAAAGGGACACAGGGTCAAGGTTAGCACAGACTGATTCTTTTCTGTGTATCTCCTATATCAGCTGATTCTATGGTAGGTATGTTATTCATTGTTTTTAAAGATATTTTTCAGTGAAAAACTTAAACTGACTTGGTTCTTAATGTTTTACATGGACATAGTTTCTTGATGCCACAAGATGCAATATATGTCACTTCTGAAGAAGAAATTAAAAAAGAGCCAAGAACACTACTGCAAAAGGAAATTAAAGAATACATTGCTGGAGAGAGCTCAGTGGGCAGCATCACTGGTCATCAAGCCTGATGACCTGAGTTCTATCCTGGGAACCGGACATGGTAGAAGGTGAGAACAACTCCTTCAAGTTGTCCTTTGACCTTCACATATGTTCTGTGGCTCATGCACACACACACTAAATACATACATATATATATATATATATATATATATATATATATATATATATTTAATTCTGAAAAACAGAACATTGATCTTCTCTTTTATGTACTTTATTCTTTTAAGTATTCTTTCACTTCTGCACATTTGGAAATGCCTTAGCATATAGTAAAACATAAATATTTACTGTATTTATAAATCTCTGAGGTATTATTTCCAGTCCATAGTCTTCCATGTACGTAAAAGAAAATTTACTTTAGGTCTATGTACATAGCAGTTGGATATTGATAAATATCTCAAGTTTCAACTTACCTTGTAAAACAGAGAAGACCCCAAAATTGTGTACAGCCGTCTCATGTCATAGTAATCCTCGGACTGTGGGGAAATTCATAGTTGATTTATAATGTGGCACTCATTTATTTTTATGTAAAAGATAAAAATATTCTAGCTAAGCTGCAAGAGTTCAAGTGGAGATTGTATCTGTTAGAAATAACTTTTTTTTTGGTGTTTTGAGACAGGGTTTCTCTGTGTAATAGTCCTGGCTGTCCTGGAACTCACTTTGTGGACCAGGTTGGCCTCAAACTCACAGAGATCTTCCTGCCTTTGCGTCCTGAGTGCTAGAACTAAAGGCATGCATCACCACTGCCCTAGAAACAACTTGTTATGGTACCTTTGACATCAAAATGCTAGAGGATGGGGATGAAAGAGCAATGTGTTTACTTGTCTAATAGCCTGTGGTCTTAAACATAATAGAACTCAGCATTTGCTCTTCTATGAGGGATTCTGAAAACAACTATTATAACAAGAAAGCTCCTATTATAATTCACAATATCCAATATTATCATGCACTACTTTTGAAAGGGTAAATTGGAACAATTTATTTGTGGACAAGTGAATGATATTTAAAAAATCAGAACACACACTCTATTTGAGTAATCTCTCCTTCTAGGGATCTATAAGATAACTCAGTGAATTGAGACATTTTTGTAAAAGCCGATAGTGAATTATTTAGAATACAAATTAGAGATAATGCCACATTCAGGAATGGAGGAATGATCAGCTAAGTTTGATGTTGTATCAGAGAACAGTACAAGTATTAGAATAATGCAGGCATAAAAGCTACTGGATGCACTGCTCAGCAGAAAATGCAAGTTCCAGAACTAAACACCACTACATCTGAGTCTTGCTGAATGGTGTGCACTCTCCCACAACTAACTACAATATATATACATATATACATATATACATATATACATATACACATATACACATATACACGAGAATAATATATATATATATATATATATATATATATATATATATATATATATCTCCATCCATCCATACATGTGGGGTTTTGGGTAGGAATGTAAGGTTACAGAAAAGTCTAGAAAGATCCATTCCAAGCTCTGAGAGTAGTTACTCCTGGGATGCCAGTGGGAAAGGATAAAAAGAAACATTTGTCTTTGCCTCTTCCTGCAACGTGCATCTGTTAATTTTATCCTAAACATAGAGGAAATGATAAATCAGAAATAACCTAAGCATCTTTGAAACTGTATTCCATCCATATGGTGCAGTGCTACTCAGAAATAAGAGGACTGAACAACACTGGGCACGGTGGCACATGCCTGTATATGCCTTAGGAGGAGGCAGAAGGTGGGAGACAGAAAACAGTAGCATCAGCTCCTTCATGTCTCAAGTCACACTGAGAGTTTCAAGTTCAGCTCAGACTTCCAGTGTTCAAAACTCATCGAGTCTCCATCTCTGTTCTTACAGGGTCCTAGTGTTTGTTAGTTAATCACTGTCTAAGCCTCATAACACATATTGTACAGCCAGTATTTCAACTGAATAGAAAGCCTTGGGACAAGTAGACATTTGCCAGTATCAAAACAGAGGTTGAGTTCTCTAAGCCCACTTGCCAGACAGAATGATTGATTACAAACTGAGAGCTCAAAATGGCACCTCGTGGAAATTGTCCTTCTCTTACCAGTTCTTCGAAGTCGGCAGCCTCAAGGTCACTCAACACTGTGTCCAACTCCACCTGTGTGGACACATGAGGAACACTCAGAACTGCCTGAGGGACTGAATACGCATCTCTCCCCGTCACACTACTCAAGAAATATCCCCAAATGGAACATGATATTTTTAAGCTTTGCAAATAAAAACAATAACTTATTTAACATATGGACTTTTTTATTAAAAGTTGCTGGAAAATGATAAAAAAAACCTTTTGATGAACAGAAAACAATTTATGGGATTAAAAAACTGCTTTCTTGTTTTTAAGTTAATTTTTTTAACTTGTTAGACTAAGCAAAATGAAAATCACTATTAATGCGCTCAACCTGTTTCAGACTTTTCCCTCCCTGTGTAGTGTTGATCAGTTGGATTCTTGAAAAGTGCCAACATTCTTCCTTGTTTCTCTCCTGGAAACAATGTTTTGAATAAAGCATTGCCCATCGTTATTCAGATTGAAACACTGAGGCAGGAGCTCCCCTGGGATCTGGCACGGCTTAACTTCCCCACAGAGTTATTTTATTAGACAACAATCTTTTACATAGGATTTGGCTTTGTTTCCATGGAAATTGCTGGAACTTTTCCTTGAAATATCCACAATTTAAACAAAGTGAAATTAACCTGCAATGCATAAATGTGTATACATACCAAAAATAATTACTTAAATATGTAGTATATACATTATGTATAAATAAGGAACCCCCTGTTTTTTCTTCTTTTTTGCCCCCTTAAAGGCTAAGGCATTCTCTGCAGGGCTGTGTCTCACACTGTGTTATTCTGAGACAACACAAGCTCCTGAGACATTAGTCATGCCTTTCAACGCTTTTCACACAGTGTGACTTAGTACTCATTTGTGACCCACTTTTTTCTGCACCTAGCAAATACTTTGTGTTCTCTTGCTTGGTGAGAACCTTTACCTTGTGAAAAACTGTCTGACAACGGGAACAAACACATGTGAATGTTGCTCTACTTGGTCTCCAAGCTGATGCTAGACTAATATAACCAGCTGTCCCTATAGAAAAAAAGGTAAAACGTTGTCCCTCTAACAATGCCAGTGTGCCCCAGGAAAGCATGACTGAAAAAATCCTCAAACACCTGGGAAAGAGGAAACTTCATCATATACTAAACTTGGAATAAAGTAAGTTATTTCCAAATTAAAATCAAATACTTCCACTGAACGTTTGCCAATCATAAGTTGCCTCACAACTACTTTTAAACCCAAGTTTTTATGGGATTAAATTTCTTACTATTTTCATTAGAAGATATGTTGTCAATAAAAGCTACTATTCTAAGACAATGAAAAATCTCAAAGAAAGGAAGCAAACATTTTTTGAGCTTTTTGGGAAAACAAAAACTCTGGGGCTCTGGTTTTTGGTTATACATGTAGAAAGCCTGAAGATGGTATTCAGTCCAAACAAGTCAAATGCTGAACAGAAAAGTCAACTCTTCCATGTCTTCCATGTCTTGAAGGACAAGAGCACAGCAAACTGCTAGCCTCAAGATCCAGGAGACAGAGACAGAGACAGAGAGAGAGAGAGAGAGAGAGAGAGAGAGAGAGAGAGAGAGCGAACCACTTACTCACAGCTGCATAACAGACACAGGAGCACAAACTTCCAACACAGCCAGGAAAAATCTGCCCTGAAGTTGGCAAGTTGCCAGAGGCTCCATGTGGTAATTTCCACAGTTGAAAACTCCATGGAAACCTATGGTCGTACCCCAAGCTTTTGTGAGTTTTCCCACCAGGAGCTTAACCAAGTTGCTACAGTAAATGCCCTCCTAACTCTCTGACATGAAGATAGAAAGGGGACCGCTGAGCTACACTCTAGAGCACTGGGCTATCCTTAACAAAGCGTGCCCCATGGAGAAACTAGTTAACTACAGCACAGCCCCATGGGATGTGGCAGACCTGGGGGTAAACACAGTCAGCAATAGCCTTCCTTACTGTAGAAGAGGACTATGCAACCTCCTATTTGGGAGGAGGAAGATGCCAAACCCCAGCTTAGGCTAGCTAGCCAGCCTGTCTCAACAAAGAGGGGAAAGGAAATCTGACAAACAATGCTATGGCCCACAGTCCACCAACCTCCAGGCTCACTGAAAGGCTAAGCCCTAACCACGGGCCAAGGACACTTCCCCTCCCAACACTCCACCACCTCATCAGCAAGGCCTATGTCTAGTGGTTCTTTCAGATTTACAACATGTACAACTACCAAGAAAAAAAAAAGCACAAGGCTCCAAACAGTAATCTCACAAATTTAAGATAGGCAGTATCAGATAAGATATGGCTAAGACTAGACAAACTTATAACAGTCAGGAAATCCATGCAAGAAAAGAAGACAAGGCAAGCTAAGATGGAGTCCCTACAAAAGAACCAACAGGAAGTGCACTGTCGAAAGCACTGTAGCAGTAATGATGGTCTTTGAGGGTAGAGCTGTGATTGCATGTGGTCAAGGTTAGGACCCCTGCATCCTGCATCACACAGTACTCTTTTTGTGGACTGGGGTTAGATGTAAAGGTATACTGTGAACTCTAGAACAATAATTAAAAGCAGCAAAAGAAAAAAAAGCAAAAAATTGTGTGAAAGTTGTAGCTACAAAGGACAGAAAGCAAACAGAACACAAGGGGATGAACATGGAACAATGGCAGCAAAAAGAAAGCATACCAAGTATGACTATCATTTCCTTTAATTTCATTTCATGATTATTATTACACACAGGTCAACAGAAGAATCCTCAAGAAAAATTCAAAACTATTGATTGTGTGATATTTTGATTGCATTCTGACAATAAAGTTTCCTTTGAGTTAGAGGGAGAAGCTAGCCATTAGCTGACCAAAATTAATCATATGATTAATTAATCATTAATCATAATTGGAGGACTGAGGACAGATAGGAGACAGGAAGTAATAAGGCAAGGCTGAGAGAGGACCTCCACCCTTTTGGATTGAGGAAGAGAGAGGTCACTGGTGGCTTCTCTGTTGCGTCTGTGATCTTTCAGGTTCTCACTCCAGTATCTGACTCCCAATTTTTTATTGATAAAGAATAATTAGATAAATGCTTCAACTATTTTTTTTTCAGTGCAGGGACAAACCCAGGCCCTCACACATGCTAGGCAAGTGCTAGCTCTATCACAACAAAAAGGGAAAGTCCAGACCAACACAGACACAAAAATTCTCAACAAAGTCCTAAGAAGGTCTGGCAATATGGCTTAGCTGGTAAAGTACTTGCTGCTAAGCCTGAGGGCCTGAGTTCAATCCCTGGAACCCCAATGGAAGAGGAAAAGAACTGACACCCAAAAGTTGTCTCCTGGCTTTCACAAGCACATTCTAGCACTAAGCTCATACAACATGACCAAACTGGTTTCCTTCCAGGAATCCAAGGTTGGTTTAACATACAAACCAGTAAGTGAGATCCATTACATAGACTCAAAAACCAAAATCACATGATCATCTCATTAGCTATAGAAAAGGCTTTTGGTCAAGTTAAACATCCGTTCCTGATAAAAACACTGAAGCAATTAGGAATAGAATGGACATACCTCAGCAACATAAAAACTATATAAAACAAACTTACCGCCAGCATTATATTCAAAGTGGGAAAAAAAAGGAAAGCATTTCTTTTGCAACTAGGAATGAGGCAAGCGTGCCCATTTTTACTACTCTTATTCACTACAGTTCTCAAAGTCTTACCTAGAGAAGTAAGACCAGAGAAAGTAATAAAAGGTACACACACAGGAAAGAATGCAGCTGAGTACCCCTATCTTCGAGAAGACCCCAATGATTCTGCCACAAAGTGCTTAAAAAGAATGAACCACCTCCAGTAAACTGCAGGATGGAAAACTAACATGTATGGATCAAAGACTGTATAGCAATAGCCAACGTACCAAGAAAGAAACATAAAACTAACCAAGAAGGGGGAGCCTTCTACAATGAAAATACTGAGACACAAAAGAAATGAATTAAAGAAGACCTCAGAAGGCAGCTCCCATGCTTATGCTCACATTGCTTTGTGAAGTCATTTTGGTGAGTCACACATGTCTAGGAAATTAAGAATTTCATCTAGATTCTCCAGTTTTTTGGAATATGGGTTTCCAAAGTATTTATTAATTATCCTCTGCATTTATAAGAATTTGTTAACACTTCACTTTTTATCACAATTGGTTAATTTGAATCTTCTCTCTCTTCAGTGAGCTTGGCTAGTGTTTTGTCGATCTTGTTCACCTCTTCAGGTATTTCTACCACTTCCTTTGTGCCTTCCTGAAGCTCTTCTCTTTCTGTTTTCAGAGGGGAGTCTGTTCTGTTACAAGGTTACAAAAAGCCAGCTCCAGTCCACCATCTAATCCAGAAAGTCAATGTAAGCTGAACACATTACCCCTAAAATCATTATGACCTCTACCATTGGGTAGAGGGGCCAATGGTAGAAGGATGGACTATATATTGTCAAGATCAAGTCTCTTCAATAAAGCAATGAAGAAACAGGGACAGGAGCCTCGGTGACTCTTAGCCATGAAGACAGCTCTCACTGGTGCCATCTGATGGCAAAGGGCCCGGGGAACTTGAGCCTCTCCAAGGTTAAAAGACCCCCAGTGGATGTGAGACAGGCTTTGGAGCCAGGGTCCTTTTATCTTAAAGGCAATGCTATCTAGTTACTTTGCATGTCAAAAAGTTCTGTTTTCTCATGAAAGCACTGGTGATTTAAGAAAATGAGGTTGGGGATACAGCTCAGTGGCAGAATGCTGGACCAGCACACTTAGGCTGCCAGGCTCAAGTTCCAGGACTAGTAAAAGAAAAGAAAATGATCACTGTAGTCTGAGACTGGCAATTTACAGAACCAGTATAAAAGATCAGAAGGCCAAGTGTCCTGTATGCTGATACCCAATTCCTTCAACTAAGGACCGTGTAATGGAACTTGCCCAACTGTAACTGCAGTTACAGGGAGCACTACCACGTCCCCCATCTCATCTTGACATATCGACTTAAGTGATCAGCAGTAAATTGTAATTCACTTAGGTACATGTTGAAGGACTTCACGAAGAATAGAATCTTGACTAGGTTTTTCCAAGGTGTCTTCAGGAGTATACGGTGTCACCTCATTTAATACTGAGAAAATGCTATAAGTAAAGGAATTACATGGTAAGCCACACTGAAAGTTTCTGAAATGATCTTGTCAATTGTGTAAAGTTATAAGCGGTACACAATCATGAAGTTATACTGAAAACACCTAACCATCATGAAGCCCTATATTGGTAAGCTATATATGAAACAACCCAAAAGATAAAATATGTATGTTCATGGAAAAGAACTGGAATATGGTTCAGTAGTAGAACACATGCTTAGGATGCAAGAGGCATCCCAGGATTCAACATCCAGCATCAAAAAACAAAACAAAAGAATTATTTTGCTGTCAATGGACCTTGCATTCTTATTAAGACTGTCTGTTAATGCAGATCACCAGAGAATCTGTTTAGGTACAGTCTTTTAGTAGCACTAAAAAATGAAGTAACATTCCAAAGCTGCTCCTCTGTTCAAGAAGAAACCCACCTTAAATCTGGACAGAAACATAAAGCTGATCTTGTGTTATAAAATCATAGTCACAAAATTGCCAAGTAAGACATATAGCTTAGATTTCTGAAAAGAATTCTGAGTTTGGAAAGCTTAAATATAAAATATGGTAAGAGAACCAATTTCTATTTTTGTTTTTGTTTTTCAAGACAGGGTTTCTCTGTAGCTTTGGAGCCTATCAGTTTCTATTTTTAAAGGATCATTGGTTGAAGTTTATATCACTGGATCTCCTACTTCAGCAGCTTCTTCATTTACTACCTGTAATACCAAAGAACACACACACACACATACACACACACACACACACAAAGAGAAAGGAAGAAGAGGGCCGGTGAGCTCAATCCTGGACCCTAGATAAAGTTGCAGGAAGGGAACCAAGCATACTAACCCAACCTCTGACCTGTACACACCACAGTAGCAGGCCTGCCTCAAGTAATAAGTTTTAAAAATTATTTTTAAAAGAAAATGAGAGCTCAAAGCTCAGAACAAGGCAGATGGTTTTGATTGTTTCTTAGGACCCCTAAGATTACCTTGAGTTCCTGTGGAAGTGTGAGCCAACGAACTCCAGGGAGGCTGTCCAAAAGCACGGCACTGGCTGCATCATACTGTTGAGCACTAAGGCTGGCGCTGAGATGCAACTTGTCAGGTTGAAGAGCTCGTTGAAAGAACAAGCTGAAGAAATGATCCAAATGAGGAGTGTTCTCAACCTGGCAAAAGGCACTGAAGAAACAGGAGTTGTTGGTTGTTTTACTCTTTGCCTCTTTTGGGGGCCTGCCACATAGCTCCCAAATAATCATACACAGAGACTTAATTCTTACTTATAAATGCCTGGCCTTAGCTTGGCTTATTTCTGTCCAGCTTTTCTTAAATTATCCCATCGACCTTTTGCCTCTGGGCTTTTACCTTTCTCTATTTCTGTCTATCTTACTTTTACTCTTACTCCATGGCTAGCTGTGTGGCTGCGTAGCTGGCCACTTCATTACTCTCTCCTTGATCTCCTCCCAGATTTCTCCTCCTATTTATTTACTCTGCTGGCCAGTCCTGCCTATCCTTTCTCCTGCTTTGCTATTGGCTGTTCGGCTCTATATTAGACCAATCAGGTGTTTTAGACAGGCACAGTAACACAGATTCACAGAGTTAAAAAAAAAAAATTCAACATGAAAGAATGCAACACATCTTTGCATCATTGAACAAATAAATATTCCACAGCATAAACAAATGCAACATATCTTAAACCAACATTCCACAAAGGAAGCTGGAAGTGAGCACAAGCTGTAGAGAGGTCTATCACCTTCTGCACCTACTCAGATGGACGGGTTCCATTCCTGTACTGAAGCTCTCTTCCTCCCTGTTCCCTTTTAGTTACAGCCACTATCCACTGTAGTGTGAGGAGGAGGGTGTTAAGAAATACACTTTCCCTAGTCATGAAGCTGGGGAAACAGCATTGGACTGAACCAAGCCCTCTGAATGTGGGTGCCAGCTAGGAGGCCAAGACAATCTATGGGACCTCTAACAATGGAGCCAGTCTTTAACGCTAGAGCACAAATGTACTTTGGGAGCCCATTCCCTATGGAGGGATACTATTGCAGCCCAGATACAGCAAGGAGGGCCTAGGCCCTCCCCCAAATGATATGACAGACTTTGAAGGTCCCTTGTGGAGGGCCTCACTATCCCTGGGGATGGGTTGGGGTACAGGTTGGGAGGTTTGGTGGGGAAATTGGGAGGATGGGAGCTCGAGGGAATGAGGGGATGGATATGTAAATATTGAGTAGTAATTAAAGAATTAAAAAAAATACACTTTCTGTATTTAACAGGACACCAGGGAAGAACTGTTGGGCTGACCCGGGGGGCATGTGCACAAGAAAAAGGGCTGAAGTACACATTTCCATCCTTTCCATATTCCAGCCATTTACAACTCCTAGCTCTTTCAAGTGATGGAGGATAACAGAGACCTTTGAATCTTACTAGGCAACTGTCATAAGACTAATCAACGAGAGCCTCTCTGAATTTTGGTTTTCAAGTCAAAATTGGGGTTAATGTGATCCAACTCACGGTCAAATCACCTAGTACTCCGTACACACAACTTCTTGTGGTGCTTACTACGAGTACATAGGAACCAGAAAATAAGAAGCTAAGTTATTTTCCTCCTCAATTGAGGGTACAAGCATTGGAGGGAAGGAAGGAAGTAGGGACGCAAGAAGAAAGAGGGGGAGGATACTGGAAGATTAAATAGCAGATTTTAGACAGGCAAAAGCAGTTCAGCATTAATCATGCTATTCCTTGGAACAGCTCAGAAGATGACACAATGGCTGGCTCATATCATGACAAAGTAATAGTCACTGATTCATCCTGCAAATATTTAAGTGCCTCCTTTGTTCCAGTCTCTCTTTGCTAGGAGTGCAGTAAGAAAATCAAGACAGAAGACAATGAACTCCAGTGGAGCATACATTCTGATGCAATGAGGCAAGGAGATGACTAGAGTATGGATGGGTGGTATGACTGGTCAGGTGTTTATTTTAAAGATAGGATTTTATGACATTTCTCAGGCTGGCCTAAACTTGTAAGGTCATGTGTCCCTTCAGCCTCCCAAAGAGCTGGAACTATAGGTATGCAACTTTGTATCCAGTCAGTTTGCTGTGTTAGAATAAATGACTAAGAAAGACTCTGATAATAGGCCAATTAAGTTGATATTGATATCCCTATATGAAGAAGACCCAGCAGGAGGGAAGAGTGCAGAGACTGGGGTGAAGCGAATTTTGCCAATGTGTAAGGCAGGGGGTTGGGTGTAGTTTGGGATCTGATCAGATAGGGAGGTAGGTGAGACCCAGATAATAATGTTGATAATTCTAATTGCTTTATGAAAATGGAAATTAATTAATGTAGCAAGAACGAAGCAGGCCATTGTAGTACCATGGAACAGCTGTTGGGCAGGAAAATGATAGACACAGAAAGAAGTGGATGGAGATGCACTTTAGACTGGTTGGGACTTGCTGATGGATTAGTTGGGGATGGTGAAAAGAAATGTAGCTTTAATTTGCTCATAACACTAATAGGAACTAGTGCACAACTTTAAAATGATCCTTAAGTCTTTGGACATTTATAAAACCTTTTTGAAATCTTTTTATAAAAAAAAACTTTACTAAAAATTGCTACAAAATGTCTACCAATAACTGCTTACATCCCTGTTGCTTCTTAAAAAACAGTCATATTTCCATTTGTTTTCTTAGTTTGTCCTTCAAGTCCCCACTTAAACAAGGGGAAATTAATTAAATTTGCTGTCACGACAGAGAAATTTAAATATCAATAGAAGGTGAAATTCAGAGAAACTGAATAGGTTCTCTGCCCTCAGCTTACTCTGTGGTCCATTCAACAATTTACGTAGTTGGTTGACATGTATGAAATCTATTGCAGAAAGTTAATCTTTAATAATCTTCCAGTTTGTGGAAACACATCAACTAGGTCACAATACTGCAAAGTTTGCTGCTCTAACATAACTTTTAAAAGGCAATTAAGACCACAGTCTCATTTCTCATTAATTAAAATCACATTGGTAAAAGGTAAAGGCACTGTGTCTGCATGACCAGCCTTTTGCACCTCATTCATTTGGAAGTTTCTGGTAAACAATCAAGTCGGGAGGGATGTGGCTCCTCACAGATTCCTCCAGTGGAGAATGTGACAAACAAAATGAACTTTCCAGACTGACATAACAAAAGTTCACCCGAGATTCTTTGAGCGTTATAACAATAAAGGCTTACCAAATAAGCAGAGAGAGATACTACCATGTTTGGAAAAAAACAAACTATCTTTCAGTTTCTATTCTGGTATATTCTGGTGTTTATAGCAGAGATACCACTTTAGGCCCCAGAGGCACTAGAACCTGCAGAAATCCCACTGGAGAAAAATGCTTTCCATTCATAATTCTGTAGATTCAAATGATTAACAGTTACCTCAATGTTTTCCCTTCAAATCAGGAAATACATATCACATTATAAGTTTAAAAACCAAGGAACACCAACAACTGGCCAAAGTGCCAAGAATAAGTGATGGTTGAGTGCTTGACTCTAAATGGGATATCTATATCAACCCCCAACCCCCAGGGTTTAGCATCAAAGTGAAGAATGGAAGAGTCTGGGTGTGTAGGGAGACATGCAAGAAAAGACACCTACTGGATACAACAGGGCCATTGCACTTGTGAACTCATTATAGCTATGGTGTCTGCACAGACCTGTACAAGACTAGAATCATTAGACATTTCATCACAGATGGGGAGTGGCCCATGAGGGACTCATGACACTTAATGATTTCTTCAGTGGCGTATCCACTGAAAAGTTGCCCATGTTCTAGTAAATAATCCCCAGCAATGCTCATGCAGCAATCCTAATAAACTCAGTGGGTCACAGGACACATGAAAGTGTGTGTGTGTGTGTGTCGGGAGGTTGTTGGGAAGAGAGAGGATTTCAGTAGAAGTAGGAGGTAATGAAGAGTGAGCACTACTAAAATTCACTGTACAAACTTGTGAACCTGCCAGAGGATAAAAAATAGAAAAAAGAGAAACAAAGTATGCCTAAAAGAGATATGCATATTTATGTTTTATGGAGAATACACAAAGGAATATATGGCACCTTAACATCCATACAGTGTATCTGATTTCCACTAACTTTGCTTTGTTAATTTTTTTTTTTTGAGACAAGGACTATAATTCAAAGTGGCTTGGAAACTCCTTATGTAGCCTAAGCCTGCCTTGAACTTACAGTAATCCTCCTGCCTCAGATTCTCAAATGCTGAGACTACAGGTATGAGCTACCATGCCTAGGGAAATGCATATTTTTAATTAAGCTTTTTGAATACAGATACATTTTTGGTTAATGAAATAGCAAAGAAAACACAAACATTATCTTAAAATCTTAATCTCTTCTGTATTCTACACAGAAATAATGCTATTTTTGCTTCTAAAGAAATGAACAAGTTTGTACTCATTCATATAATATAGAACTTGTAGTAATCACTACAGCTTGAACCAATTAGCAAATTTTCATGAAATATTGGAGTATACTAGGGAAGAAGTAATAGCATCATGGTTTCACTAAAAGTCAGGTGTGGTGGTTCACATCTATAGTCCCAGCACCTAGGAGGCTGAGGTAGTAGGATCATGAGTTCTAGCCCTCCCAAGCTACATACCAAGGCCAGGCCAGTCTGAGATACCCAGGGAGATTCTGTCTCAAAAAAAAAATCATAATTGAATTTAATAAAAATTAAGAAAGAAAAGGAGGAAAGAAAACATGAGGAAACTGTGACAAGGCAAAGAATGAAGAACCAACTTGCTCTCACTCAAGAGTTGCTGTGAAGCATAGAGGAAGACACAGAATCATGACTCAACACTTGAGTCAGAGTCCAGCAAAATACTTACCTATCTAAGGAACCATACATGAACTTCAGGGTTTGGGCAGTGTCTTCTATCATGTTCCTTAGCTGGGGAAGAGGAACTCTTAAAAGAAGAAATGCAGTTACTCATTCACAACATAATCTAATGATATAGACCCCAAAGAAGCAAGATGCCCTTACATTTACATATTGGTACATTTAGTGAGCTGTGAGCAGAGCTATTAAATACTGCTTACCCAACTAGTGAATGGTCACCCTAAGGTAGGAAGCCACTTCTGCACTGCAGAGTGACTGTTTTACTAAAACCATTGAACACCTGGGCAAAACACTCTGTGCTAAGTCTGACTCCCCAAATTCTTCAGCATGAATAAGCTGCAGGCATATGGAGGTTTGAAAGAAAATGGCCCCCACAGAGAGTGGCACTACAGGAGGTCTGGCCTTGTTGGAGGAAGAATGTCACCATGGAAGCAGGCTTTGAGGTCTCATATGCTCAAGCCATGCTTAGTGTGACAGTTTACTTCCAGTTGCCTGTGGATCAAGATGTAGAACTCTCAACTCCTTCTCAAGTACCACGTCTGCCTGCATGCTGCCATGTTTTTCATCATGACAATAATGGATTAAATCTCTAAAACTCTCAGCCAGCTCCAATTAAATGTTTCCCTTTATAAAGTTGCCATTGTCATGATGTTCCTCACAGTAATAGAAACACTAAGACAGAAGTTGATACCAGAGACTGCAGTATTGCTGTGAATGGCCTGTCCATGTATTTGGGACTTTGGGTTAGCTAAATAGTAGAATGCTTTAATTGCTGCTTAATGGGCCATACTAATAGGAGCATGGAAGACAGAGGTACTTAGGATGATTTGAACTGTGGGGTCTGGCTCAAGAGGTTTCAGAGGAGGAGAATTTTAGTATGCTGCCTAGATTGTTCTTGTGATATTTTTGGTGAAGAATGTAGCTGCTTTTGCCCTTGTCAGAAAAGTCTCCCTGAGGCTAAAGTAAAGTGTTTTGGATTAATTCCATTGGCAGAGGAAATCTCAAAACAACTTAGTATAGACTTTGTTGTGAGGTGACTGGTGTTGACTCTTAATGACGATTTATAATGAAAAGGAGAAACTGAGAAAGGAAAAACACAAATTGTGCGATTTGAGAAGGAAAGGGGGACCAGGAAGTGAAATGGCTAAATCAAGAAGATAAACAGATTAAGAAATGGAATAAAGGGAGTGGTGAACTCAGGGCAAGACCCCACCCAGCTAAGTTTGCAATTTGTGAAAAGGAATTAAAGAACACCTTAGGTCCAGGAATGGTCACACATGTCTTTAATCCCAGCACTTTGGAGACAGAGGCAAGCAGATCTGTAACTCCAAAGCCAGTTTGGTCTACAGAGCAAGTTTCAGGACAGTCATGCTTAGGCAGTTAAAAAAAAACAGTGAAAACAGAAAGCTGGTGAAAATCTTATTGAATGAGGGGGCCATGTTCCAGCCCTAGCAAGCAGCAGAACTTAGCAGTTTCAGCTATGTGGCTCTGGCTTTACAGTTGAGGATAGAAGAAGGGTATTAATTATGGAATCTTACTTCCCTATTAAAGAAAGCTGCTGAGGCCAGGCATATGTCAGAGGTGTCCCTGAGTGGAGGCCAAGAGTTTTAAAGCTATGACAGTGAAGCCTGAATTGCCTTGAAGACACAAGATGTTAGAGATGCCAGAGCCGTGGCACACCTACTGAGGAAAGCTGCTGACCAGTCCAAGAGAAAGAAGTGCATTTCAGTCAACAAAACTGAGAAGAATTGGAGATCTGAAGAGCATTTTGACATCAGACATAGCGATGCAGAGTTTGGAGTTTGCCCAGCTGATTTTTGCTCTTGCTTTGGTCCAGTATTTCCTCACTGTGTTCCCTTCCCTATGTTTTGGAGTGGTAATGTATATCTTGTGACATTATATGCTTGAAATATGTGCTATGCTTTGTGATTTTGATTTTTACAGGGTATTACAATTAAGAGATTGACATATTTCTCAGAAGAGACTTTGGACTTTTAAACAAGTTTGAGACTATTATAAATTATGGGGACTTTTGAAGTTGAACTGAATGCTACCTCTGTGTTGTCTATACTGACAGCCCCCCAAAACACAGGTAACAACTACCCCATTGTAACACCTTGGGATCATAAAACCATCACAAGGAGTTGACTTTTTGATTAAAGTGGCATTCTTTTAATGACATAGACTTTTTTTTAACCATTATTTTACTTTTACTTTTTTGTTGTTGTTGTTACCATAGTTTCAGAAATTTTTTTAAAGGTAAACAAACAAACAAAAAAATCTCAACTTACTCTTCAGCAGGCAGGCCAATTAACAACAACTTGTCAGACTCTTTCAAGAAAGCAACGTGAATTTGTTTCCCATTTAAATGGAGGGATGAGCTAAGAAAAACATAAATTCAAGATGTGGTTAGAATATATTTTATGAAGTCATAAAAATATCTTTAAAAGGTTACACATGGTATAATTTAAGAACTGAATTGCTTAATAAGCAAATTTCTTGGCACATACCTAACTACCGCACAGAAAACACAGGGGTTGTGTAGCAACAAAAATTAATTTGGAATTGTCTCCAAATCCCCAGGACATACAACAGTAGAATCACTGCATGCCTATAATCCTGTCTTCAGGAGGCTGTGAGTTTGAAACCAGCCTGAGTTACACAGTTTCAGGACAGCAGAGTTACACAGTGAGACCCTCCCTGTCTCAAATTGGGTGTATGTGAAATGTTTTGTTGACATTAAGTAGCTATATACAATTTAGTTTTTTTTAAACAACTGTTTCCATCCTAGCTCATAGCTCCAAGACTTTCTGATTGCCCATGTATGGGCATGATCACTAAGGTGATTACAAAGAAAAGAAAACAGTGATTCCAGCTAAAAGATGACAACCCAACAATATGAGAGGCGGGTATAGAAGCACATGACAAAACTGTAGTCATATGCACATCTTGCTCAACGGAACTCCAGGACAGGCATGTGCACAGTGTGTGATGGTTACAGAGGGAGTGCTTCTGTCAGCTGTCAGTGTGGACATTTCATGCATGAGCAGTTTATTCTTAACCATACTTCATGTGGCTGCAAACAATTAGATAACTTCTCAAAAGAAATACAACAACCAACTATGGAAATATAGAGAACACAAGTGTGTGCCGCTTTAAATAAAAACTATTAAGCAGATTTTTTTCCCAAACAATATTATTTTTATCTTAAAGTTTAAAGGTACATACACTTTTAGGCAAATATTATCATATCCTCTTTTATATCACACTAGCATTTTTACATTTTTTTTAAAAAAAGAGTATGCAACAAGACACACATAGTGTTAAGGAACTCTGAAAATAGCATTTCACATTTATTGTTTCCTCAAAAAGGTTTTCCTAGCTGTCCTTATTGCTTGCATTTGGTTACCTCATGTCTTACCATGTCAAGATGTAGCTATTAAGTAAAATGGCATCTACCCTACATAGCAGAGAAAAACAAAGAACAAACCTACATGAAAAAACTTAAATTTAGCAGAAAACAAACCCCCAAACAAACAAACAAAAAAGTTAAAACATTACTCTAGGGGCTAGAGTGATGGCTTGTTAGTTAAGAACACTAGCTGCTCTTCCAGAAGACAAGTTTTGTTCCTAGCACCCATGTCAGGTATATGTGTATTTCTCTAACTCTAGCTTCAGGGAATTCGATGCCTGTGGCTTCTGTAGGTACCTACACTCATGTTCACAAACCACCCCTACTCTCTCACACAATTAAAAACATATTTTTTAAAAAAGCATCTTATGATTCTATTCATTTGAAATGTCCACTGATGGGATCTCTTCCCAACAAGGCTAGCAAGCCAATGGGTGCCTGGGGCTTGGGCTGCAGTGTACAGGTTGACACCTAAGAGGCATGGGGTTTCTTTTTAAGGTGATAAAAATGTTTTGAGATTGATCATGGCCAATCTATGAATATACTTGAAACTATTTACTTGTATACTCTTAAAAAACACTTATTTGCTTTTATTTTATGTGTTTTGTTGTTTTGCTTCCATGTATATCTGTACCATGTGCATGCCTGGGACATGCCAAGGTGCTAGATTGCCTGGAACTGAAGTTACAGATGATTTGGGATACCATGTGGGTCCTGAGAATCAAACTCAGGTCCTCTGGAAGAGCAGCCAGTGCTTTAAAGCTTTGAGCTCAACTCTGAGTTCAACAAGCTGCTTTTATAAATACAAATTTATATATGAAGTCTTCAAATATATAATCAATGTATTTATCTATATAAAACTCAGAGATTTACACCTAACTTTTATTTAGGGAAACAAGTAATTTCTTCCCTTTATTTTAGATGCCCCATATCATCTAAAACTTTTAAGTGTAATTTTTACCAGGAGATGGGAAACAAAAGTTAAAATCTGGGAGATCCAACTTCATTTTTTATCAGTAATATGAGAGCTGTTAAAACCTTTTTCATGATTATTGAAATATTAAAGTAGAAAATAGTAATAATTTATTTTATGAAACATCAAAGTCAAAAAGCTCTGAGCTCTTCATCCATATCTTAACCATGGCATCGATGTCAGGCCTGACAAATAGTGTGGGGTGCTCTCTTTCAATGGCTGAGGAGTTCCCCTCTCTTCCCCTTTCTCCACTCTCCTTCCCCTGGTGCTAGAGATGGACCCAAGGCCATAGGCATGGTGCTATCTTGGTTCTGACTTCTGCCCTTTCATTAATAAATAAACTTCACACAACACTGAGTTCTGAATAGCCCTCCCAAAGCAATGTATATATGTATATATGTATATATATGTATATACATATACATCTATATATAATAATTACTATAAAATCAGACTATTTTTGTGTGAAAAATGGTATATTGCTTAGTGAGTTGACAATCACAACAAAAAATATAAGTCAAGATACATAATAATATCATGTTTAAAAGTAACACTTTCTTTTACAGAAATTCTCTCTCTCTCTCTCTCTCTCTCTTTCTCTCTCTCTTTCTCTCTGTCTCTCTCTGTATGTGTATGTGCGTGTATGGTACACATATGTACGTGTGGCATGTGTACCACAGCTTGAGTGTGGAGTTTGGAGGACAACTTGTAGGAATCTGTTCTCTCAATCTACCATCTGATCCCAGGATTTGAACTCAGGCTAACAGGCTTGACAGCAAGTGCCTTTACCCATGAGCTAGCTATCTTGCCAACTCAAAGGCGACATTGTCATGAAGAATTGTCTAATGGGTCAACAGGCAACATTTAATTAACTTAATTAAATGATCCTGGCAAATCCTAGACCTGTAGCTAAATTAATAACATACACTCCAAATGATAAAATCAGTGTTTAGCTGAAGCAGATGCACAGCTATCCTCCCCATAGTAGACCTCTGCCACAGACAGGAACCACTAAGATGATGAGAACATGAAGAAAGAGCGAAACATTGTTACCTGGTAACTTGTGTCCCAGTTACACTTTCCAGCATGTCACAGAGTGTGAGAAAAATCCCCCTCACACTCTTGAGTTTCTGAGAGGCTTCAGACACTGGGTAATGGTACAAAATTTCCTGCTGTTAGGGAAAGAACAAATGATGGGTTCTCAGATGCTCCTTCCAACATCTGTCCTCAAAGTTCAGACTTTGTATGAAGAACAGAACAACAATCCTTTCAGCTTTAGTCAGAGCTTCATTCAAATCCAAGGACAGAACTATGCCTGGAATGTTCACACTTCAACAAGCATTTCAAATGCTACACTTGAAAGTAAGTTTAGAGACTACAATGCTCAGAAGACTAATCTATACAATCAAAATTATTATTGATTTCAAATAGTGTTTTAAGCTTCAATCCCATGTGTTACTCCTAGGAGTCTTTTAAATTTCTTTCATACTGAATCTTAAAAGATAATCATTATTTTTGGTGAAGTTACTAAAAATTTACTTAATTATATTTACAAAATAAGAATACAAAACTGAAGAAGTACAAATAGGAAGAAAAAAGTATCACAATATTATACAGTCTGAAACTTAAATATGGAAGGGTTTAAACAGTATAAATCTATAGGAAAGGGCACATTTTATTTTAAATTGTGGGAAATGCTAATTTACACGACAATGTAGAAAATGGTTAATATTTTCTATTTTTAGTGAGACCCTGTTTCCAGGAAACAGCTTTAAGGAAGTACAGTAATGAATCTCTAGGACCTGCTGTGTGCTGACGCTCCTAGAACACTAGGTATCTTGAACCTCACTTTCTATAGATACTTAAGCAACATCTATTTTCCTCAAACAGCAGATTAAAAGTAGAAAAAAATTAAAACCTCTAGATAGAAGCTATGAAGAATTCAGAGTAATTTCCAATTGCACTAATGGCTATAATTGCTACAACGACAAGTCCAAACTCCTGGAGTATTATACTTCCCTAGCTTTTCCTTGGTTGTGTCTCTAAAGATTGTTAAACATCTATATGAGAAATAGTTATGTGGCAGTGTCCATATATTCACAATTTTTGTATCATCAGAGATATGATGATGGTATACTGTGAAACCTGCTTTTTATACTTACTAAGACCATCTAATATATGAAAATTATTCAATATGTACCATGAGATATGTTTGCCAAACACATTGCACGATGAGTCAAATTTTATTGCACTTTTTATTGTGAAAATAATTACAAAGTATTTTGTTATAATTTTATTATTTATCTCTAGAAACATGAATTAGAATCAAACATGAGTTAAAATCTTCTGTAATGTTGACTTAATAAATTTAAACCTTGTCCAACAAATACTTCTACTCTATTTTGCCAAAATACCAAATGCTGTTTTAAAGTCTTTGACTAGCTTTTTATAAGTCTCCATCTTGTGTCCTTGCATTCCAAATCTTGTAATTTGAGGACAAGTTCTGTATCAATTATGTAACTCTCAGAGAAAGAAATGGCCCTATGACATTTCATTGTAAAGTAACATAGTAGAAAAAAAAAAAAAAAAAAAGGCCGTTTAAGGAAGTCTCCACGGGAGTCTTAAAAGCCTTGGTGTCTTAAAAGCCTTGGTATTGAAGGGCTGGCAAGCTCTGCAGTGCCCAGCCAATTTAATTAGCTGTATTTTTAAAGTCCTCATTAGTAGCTTGTACTTGCAGAAGCTTCCACTCTGCGTGCTAAGAATAAAGAACCTCTCCTAATCACGATGTTGCTACAGAACTGGTCATAGACAGCAGCGTGTTTATTTGCGAGGCATTCACACACTTTCCCAGGGAACGTCAGGCATGATGACATGGGCTAGAAAGGTTCAGAACAGTACCCTCAAAACTTGGGAGACTTAAAAAAGAAATGCTTAAATGTCTCATTTGTTCTAAAGATACAAGGAGCCAGCAAGGTGTAAGAAATTGGAATTATTAACACTGCATGTCTATGTATTTTCTAGAACACAAAAAATGCCAAGCAGTGCATATGCAATTAATATAATCCTTACTATTTCAACTTTTATTAAACAGAAAACAACATAAGGAAATGCATGCCTCATATTACAAACTCGAAAAGGACAAGAAAGAAGCTTTTGGGATCTCACTCCCTATTGCTTAGAAGAGCTGAAAAGTGCTCTTACCTGTTTTAAAACACTGGTGATATAAAGTACCTACACTAGCATAACATAATATATAGAAAACACAGATAAGAGACAGCTCATTCCCTCTGTTCTTCTTGAACTTTGAATATGCTAGAAGGATGGACGGTCCCCTCCTTCTGCAGCATATGGGAGCAGACACTCACCTCCTCCTTGGATACCTCTGACTGGATCTGCAGCGTGAGGTACATGGTGATGTGTGGGGTGTCCAGGATACCATGCTGGATGCTGTCAGTCTCTGACCCACAGAGAAGTTTCACCAAATCATTTGTGCTCGACTGTGTCTTTCTCTTTTTGGGTTGGGCCGTTTCCTTTTTCACAGCATATGCATTTTCAAATGTCAGCTTCACCTGAAAAACATAAAACAAAATGTTTGACATTTCAACAAGGCAAAAGTTAAGAGGGAGAGACTGGGGGAAAGAGGAAATCTCATACGTTGGGAGTTGCCTTTCCTTCCAAATGGGGCAGGTTTCAAATAATCTTCTCTCACACAGTCTTTGTAGCTCTTCAAAGAAGGGCCAAAGATAGTGCTATCAAACAAACAACCGTTGGCATCAGGACTCTGCTCCACCAGGATTATCTGTCAGTTTTATCAGGATAGTTTTAATTTCACAGCCTGATGTCAAGATTGGTCAGAATACAGAATGTGGCTGTTTTCCAGCCGATGAAAGGCACCTTACACCTCTCAGGTACACTTCCTTGAAAACAGAGACACGTTCCCAGTGCTGGGGGACCAGAGACAACCCGCTCATTTCAAAGATGTACCAGCATATAGGATAATGAGGGCATCGTCCAAAGCTCAGAAGCCACATAGTCCTCCAGATGTTTATATTTTTTAAATGTCCTTTTAAAGAGAACGGTCCACAAAGTTTTAAATTTAGAGTCAAATGATGCTTTTTAAAATAAAAGCCAGGCATGTGCAGGTGGATCTCTGTGAGTTCAAGGTCAGCCTGGTCTAAAAGGCCAGTCAGGAATGTAACAGTGAGATTCTGTCTCAAACTAGTTAATTAATTAATGATTGATCAAGAATAAAGAAATCTAGCCAATGCTTGAAAGCAGGTAACATTGTATTAAGGCAGTTACACTGAGGAAAATACTTAAAGACTAAAAACAATACTAAATAATTCCTATTTTAGTAATTTATTAAAAGATGTGCCATCCTAATTCTAAATATGTGATAAGTACTAATACATTATGATCACTTTTAAAATTAACTTTTATATACTTTCATTTAAAATGTTAAGCATATACATATATATGCATATGTGTATATATAAAATCTACATAATTCTAAGCTACCTACCCAACTGATATATAATAAAACAAAAAAAAAAACATGAAAAAATCTTCCAAAAGAAAAAAAATATCAGGCATTTCTTTCTTGTTGGCAAGGAATAAGTGTTTGGGGTCATATTCAATTTTGCTTATCTGGAGCTCATAGCAGCTTTTATTGAAATGAACTAAGTTGGACACGTACATTTTCTAAGTCTCAGGATTTACTATATAAGCAAGTTCCTATTGTTTGGAAAGTGTCTCTCAAAAATTCACAGAGTAAAGGCATGGCCCACAGTTTAGTGCTAGTGGGAGACTGAAAGGTCTCCATGGAAGTGGGCGCATGCCCTAGGAGAATTGTGGGAACCTGGCCCCTCTTCCTCTTTCTCTCTTTTATTTATTGGTCATGAGATGAACAGTTCTGCTTTGCTTGCTCCCCAACATTTCCTTGTGGCACTCCCACTAAAGGCCTCAAGATAAGGGACCCATCTGATTATGGCCAGTTTTTACTGTCACCTTGACTAGATTTATAATCACCAGGAGATATACAATGGGCCATGTCTGTGAAGCTATTTCCAGGGTTTACTGAGGGGAGGACTCGCCCAGAAGGTGGGTAACACCATCCCATGGGATGTTGTCCTAGACTGAATAAAAAGGGAATAAAAAGCAAAAACAAAACCAGTCAAGCATCTGCATTCATCCATTTCCTGGTCTGCCCAGACAGGAAGAGTCACCTCTGTACACTCCGGCAGCCATGAACTCTACCACACATTTCCTGCTGTGGTGGACTTACCACTTTCAAACTAAGAGCCGTCATGCATTTCCACCTCTGTTATGTTTTTATTTAAGAAGAAGAAAAGAGAGAGGCGGATGAGACATATCGGCCCGGCAGAGTAGGGAGACTAAGAGAGAAGAGGAACAGGGGTAATGGCTGACCGCCACGGCTGGTCGCCATAGAGAGGCAGAGAGAGCACATAGGTGGGAGAAGAGAGAGTGAAGCAGAAGCAGAAAGCGATTATCAGGGAAGTTGGGATTTTTAAAGGGAAGACTGTGCATGTGCACTGTGGTTCCATGCATGCCCAGAGTCCTCACACGGTGGCGGGTAATGTGGTGATGACGTAGCACGTTTTTCCTATGTGTGCCCTGACTGTTGTCAGGGGGGCGGGGTCTGTCTCTTAAAGAGATACTGCCAATCAGCATTAAAGCCTGAACCTTTCACCCACCCATAAGTTCTATTATGTTAGGTATTTGGTCCCAACTATGAGACAAGTAACAAATAGACCTAACTAGACCCTCTAAAACTACAAGCCAGAATAAACCTTTTCTTTATAAGTCACTACTTCAGATATTTATTGCAGCGAAAGACGCTAATCTACATGTAGCAAAGAAAGGGGTTTTAAATCATCCAGATGTACATGTTGTTAGTAAAGATGAAGTAGGCCAAGACTAACAGGAAATTACATAGAGAGCAGGAAGGGACAAACTACAAAGGAGAAAGCCCAGTGTCTACAGAAAATTTTTAACGTATTTTCTATAAACACAATATGGAAACATGGGCCCTTAGTATCTGGAGACTGTATCCAAAAAGGCTGAGTAGAAAATGAATGTATTGCTAGAGAATGAGAGAAAACAAATTAAACAAAGATTTTTATAAAAGCAACCCTATGTAAGAATGATCAAGGATTTTTTATGGTTTAATCTGATGAAAATTAACATTTAATTAAAGTAAGAAAGAATTGAGAGCATAAGGTTTTAGGAATTATCATCTGAGATGTGAAAATGAATATCTGGGGCCTGTGAGATGACTCTGTGGATAAAGACACTTGTCTCCACTCCTGATGACCTGAGTTTGATCCTTGAGACACACATGATAGATAGGAGAGTCAACCCCCTCAAGCTGTCCCCCGAAACCACCCGGCATCCAGAAGTGTGTATAATAAATGTTACAAAAATAAGACTCGGTGTGAGGTTCTGACACAAACAGGCTACACAAGTAAGTTATCATTTAGTGTGAAAGATGATGGTTCTTCGGGGGGAGGGGGTATAGGAGAATCCACAGAAAGGGCCATGGCTCAAATGAGGAGGGCATCTTCTCCAGTAAGGTTCTTTGTGGGTGGGAATGTTTAAAGATTGGGCAAGACTCACCAAAAAGTGACAAAAGGGAAATAAGCTGATAAACTGAAAAATCCTATATTTATACTTTGAGAAGCAGCAATGACCTAAAATTTGATACTACTTTGATATGCTTGTGGACAATGACATGTGTGCTTTAAAACTAACTTAATACTATATTTTGCAAATGCCATTACTTATTTTCTGATGTAAGGATCTTTTCCACAAACCCAAACAAAAACATACCACACGGAATTGTTCATTAAAATTCTTTTGTTTTTAATTTTTAAATTTAAATTAGAAACAAGCTTGTTTTGCATGTCAATCCCAGTTCCCTCTCCCTCCACTCCTCCCCTGCCCCCCACTAATCATTAAAATTCTTTAAGGAACTCTTTTAGTACCATTTTGATTTAAGAAAAGTTGGTTCCATCCTAAGAAGATAATTACACTTCAGAAAGACATTTCTGAAGTCCTATATGAAAAGCAACTATATAAATGCTGAGACAACATGATAAGATGTAAGACATAACTAAATAAAGAAATAAGCACTATTTTTAAGGAGAGATTGATAGATATAAGTATTAAGGGTACTTCAAGGTTAGAAAGATAAACTTTTATTAAACAATATCTAATGAGTCTTGTTTGAAACACCTTTTGGTACCCTGTTGTTCTTCCACAGTCTTTAACATGCAATGAAGTTCATGATCCCACATCTCCTGCCTCCTCACTTGTGCAACTTGCCCAACATATCCTCATCCCTTTCAGGCTCAGTAATGAGGTCTTGTTCCCTTGGGTACAGGGATGTGATTTCTATAACCCATCACCTCCAAAGATAACTTTGGTTATCTCCTCCCCACGTCTGTCTTCAACAAATGCTACATAAGAAACAGTTCATATTTATCCTCTATCAAACAAACCCCCCTTCCCACTTTAGCTAGAACCCTCCTCAAAGGGGCACACAGTGGGGCTGTGAGGGCCAGTGCCATGGCAGAGCAGGCCTGCCTTGCATCTGTGAATCAGCACAGCCTTTTTCACAGCTCCACTGCTCTTAGCTGCCTTACCCTTTCTCTTTCAGTTGGCAAGTGGCAGGGGCTTTCAAAAGGCCTCATGAATAATTCTCAAGGAATTAGTCTAATTGGCTAAGCAAATCCTCTCTCCTCCAACCTCTTGTCTCCTTTGGGCAATCTTACTGAGTGGCTTAAGGTAAAGGCAATTCCTTGTTCTCTAAAACTGAAATACTGTAAAATCGCAGACTTTCTGAGTATCAGTGTGGTGGCACATGCCTTTAATTCCAGCATTCAGGGACAGAGGCAGGTGGATCTTTGAGCTCGAGGCCAGCCTGGTCTACAAAGCTACACAGAGAAACCCTGTCTCGAAAACAAACAAACAAAAAGTTTCAGACTTTTGAGTATCTAGGGTTCTAGGTTGTTCTGCTCTGCATTGGAGGTTCAACCATGCAACAGTCCCAAACTGAATCTCACCTACTCACTTCTGGTTGCAAGCATTTTGGGTAAGGGATACACAGCCTATACTACTATGTAATAAATTCCAAGCTGATTTCTCCCACCATCCAATACAGCTGTTCCTTCTGCAATCCAGAAGCAGTCAAGGAGTGCCTGCTGCATCTGATGCAGTCTGTGGTAGTTTGAATGTAAATGACCCCCATAAGCTCATAGGGAGTGGCACTATTAGGAGGTGTGGCATTGTTGGAGTAGTTGTGGCCTTGCTGAAGGAAGTGTGTCACTGTGGAGGCAGGCTTGAGGTCTCATATATGCTCAAGCCACACCCACTATCTCAGCTCACTTCCTCTTGGCTGCCAATCAGCTCTAGCACCATGTCTGCCTACAAGCTGCCATGTTCCACCATGAAGATAAATAGCCTAAAATTCTGACACTGTAAGCAGCCACCCCATTAAATGTTTTCTTTATAAGAATTGTTGTGGTCATGATGTCTTTCCACAGCAATA